TAGTAAGGTCGTAGTAAGGTCGTAGTAAAGCGGGAGTAAGGAGGGAGGCGCGCGAGGGGCTCCCGGGTCGTGGCTTGGCGCTGCTGGCTCTGCTGAGTAACTGTGGTGTAAAGCTGGAGTATGTCCCCATCCTGTGTGTAAAGCTGGAGTAGTTTACACCTCCCTCCCTCCCCCCCCTCCTCGCCCCCGGGGCTGTTTCTGCATGCTGGGAGTAAAGCTGGAGTAAGGCTGGAGTAAGGCTGGAGGACTCGGGGGGAGCGGAGTAACCCCGGAGTAACCCCGGAGTAAAGAGTGAGGATGCCCCGAGTAGCTCTGGTGTGGCTGAGGCACACCTGGAGTAAGCCAGGAGTAAGCCAGGAGTAACCCCGGAGTAAAGAATGAGGATTCCCTGAGTAGCTCTGGTGTGGCTGAGGCACACCTGGAGTAAGCCAGGAGTAACTCCAGAGTAACTAGCTACACTTGGGGCAAGTCAGGAGTAAACCCTGAGTAGTTACATCCATAGCAAGCCAGGAGTAAGCCCCGAGTAACCCAGGAGTAAACCCTGAGTAGCCCAAGAGTAAAGCACGAGGAACCCAGGAGTAAACCCAGAGTAAGTCGGGGTAAACCCTGAGTAACCCAGGAGTAAACCCTGAGTAATGCCTGAGTAACTCAGGAGTAGCCCAGGAGTAAACCCTGGAGTAACCCAAGAGCAACCTGAGTAACCCAGGAGTAACCCAGAGTAAACACTGAGTAAACCCTGAGTAACCCAGGAGTAACCCAGGAGTAACCCAGGAGTAACCCAGGAGTAACCCAGGAGCACCCCCCGAGCCCTCCCAGCCCACCCCCACCCCCCCCCCTGCGCATGCCGCCCCCGAACACCCCCAACCTCCATTCTCACGCGAGTAACCTGTGAGTAACCTGTGAGTAACCCATGAGTAACCCATGAGTAACCCATGAGTAACCCCCGAGCCCTCCCAGCCCCTCCCCCCTGCGCATGCCGCCCTCCAAACACCCCCAACCTCCATTCTCACGCGAGTAACCTGTGAGTAACCCATGAGTAACCCATGAGTAACCCATGAGTAACCCATGAGTAAGGCGTGAGTAACCCAGGAGCAACCCCCGAGCCCTCCCACCCCCTCCCCCGCTCATCCCACCCTCCGAACACCCCCAACCCCCACTCTCACGCGAGTAACCGAGTAACCTGAGTAACCCCTGAGTAACCTATGAGTAACCCATGAGTAACCCCTGAGTAACCTATGAGTAACCTGTGAGTAACCCTTGAGTAACCTATGAGTAACCTATGAGTAAGCCATGAGTAACCCCAAGCCCTCCCAGCCTACTCTCAGCCCCTCCCCCATGCATGCAGCTCCCTGAATGCCCCCACCCCCATTGACACGAGTAACCCCTGAGTAACCTGAGTAACCTATGAGTAAGCCCTGAGTAACCCCTGAGTAACCTATGAGTTACCCCTGAGTGACCTATGAGTAACCTGTGAGTAACCTATGAGTAAGCCATGAGTAACCTGTGACTAACCTGTGACTAACCTATGAGTAACCTATGAGTAAGCCCTGAGTAACCTATGAGTAAGCCCTGAGTAACCCCCGAGTAACCTATGAGTAACCCCTGAGTAACCCCTGAGTAACCCATGAGTAAGCTGTGAGTAAGCTGTGAGTAAGCCGTGAGTAAGCTGTGAGTAAGCTGTGAGTAAGCCGTGAGTAAGCCGTTTTTGTCTCCGGGGCGGCGCGGGCAGTGCTGAACCAGCTGGAGGAGCTGCTGAGCGACATGAAGGCCGACGTGACGCGGCTGCCGGCGACGCTCTCGCGCATCCCCCCCATCGCCGCCCGCCTGCAGATGTCGGAGCGCAGCATCCTCAGCCGGCTGGCCAGCAAGGGCACCGAGAGCCACCCCCCGCCCGTGAGTGTCCCCTCAGTGTCACCTGTGTCACCTCCTGTGTCACCTCTTGTGTCACCTGTGTCACGCCCTGTCACCGTCCTGCCTCAGTGTCCCTGTGCCATCCTCAGCCGGCTGGCCAGCAAGGGCACCGAGAGCCTCCCCCCGCCCGTGAGTGTCCCCTCAGTGTCACCTGTGTCACCTGTGTCACCTGTGTCCCCTCCTGTGTCACCTCTTGTGTCACCTCTCCTGTGTCACCTCCTGTGTCACCTCTGTGTCACCTGTGTCATCTTCTGTGTCACCTGTATCACCTGTGTCACCTGTGTCACCTGTGTCACCTCCTGTGTCACCTGTGT